AAACACAGCACAGATTGGAGTTCATGACACTGCACGTTGTACTTCTAGCAGCGAGCACAAAATAGGAGTCCGCTCTTCATTTACAAATACCAGGAAAATAGTCAATTCACATTGAATTGTTCTTCGGCACTCCTCCTGGTTGCCAATATTTAGCTTTACTTTTAAGCTGAATTCATCTACCGATGGAATAAGAGCTGATTTGCCTCCTTAAAACAGTTAATGACAGTGAAGAAATTATTATTTTTACACTTTGTCATCATGAAACCACCATCTTGTTTCCTTTGGAGATCTGCCATTTTTACAGTTTCTTACATAACGATCATTGTCTTCTGGTGGTTGCTGCACATACAGGCAACGAAGGATTAATATGCATCTGAGATTTGCAGGTGATTAAAAATACCTAATCTAGAAGCCGTCAAGGACTAATAGAGGCATACCTTTACAGTTGAACTTGACAGCATTGATAGAATGCTGATACAGACAGAGCTAACAGTCATGGCAGGGGACCATGAGTCATACAGAATATCTGCATTGCACGAGGATATATAAGATATGATTTACTGATTTTCCGAAGGCCAGAGTCACAATGATAAGTATCTAACTGCATGGAAGGCATTACAAGCAAAGGCAATCAAGACGGTCTCACATTGGGCCTTCATTGCTTTCACCAATGTTAACGTCATACATTTTAGGACCAGCTGTGAAGCCAATATTCGCAAGTTGCAGGAAGAAAAAACATAGAGATGCCATTTCATTTAGTTTTGAAAATGTAATTCTCCTAAAAGTGAACTCAAAAATCTAAAATTCCTAATGAGTGTTCTAGTAAGTAAGGAACGAGGTACTCCCACTTCCTCTCTTAATCTGGGCTGAGGATCTCTGACCAGAAACTTAAAAATCCAAGCCATTATAGCTTCAAGCTTCTTGTCATTCACCTTGAGTAATCCAGAGATGAATTCACAGGAGAAGCTTTGATTGTCTCTCCATTCACAAGAAAAAAATCTTAGTTTTAATAGGAAGCCAAATAGCCAATCATATTCTTGTATCCCTATCAAGCAGAGAACAATATCGAGCTAGATGGGGACATGCAATTCCCACTAATGCTATCTCATACTCTCGTTACCCCTTCCTAAAAGAGCAATTTCTACAACATCCAGTGTCAACAATTGGTAATGCAGCTTGTCTGTAAAATGAAAATCCCAATAAATGCTGCATTTCTCAAACCTCATAAGAGGATAAAGAGTCTAAACCTTAACATGCAACGGTCCTCATAATATGCTTTTTGTTAGGACATGCTAAAAATTACAACAAACAACTTTAAGAAACTATAAAAACAAGGACTAAACGGCTTCAATCATATGAGGAATTTTTCCTTCTCTTAAGAGAGAAATAGAGAAACCTATTTTCAGGAAGATTGGAAAGACAAGTGAGGGTACAATTAATACATAGAAGATTTGAAGAAATGGCAATGTTCTCAAAGTAACTGCCATCTCAGTGCGTTCAAATAGTAGTGATTTTTGCACATAATAGAACTATCGCTGTCATTGCATGATGGTGACAATAAATTTAGTGGTGGCGTAACATATAACTCGCACAAATCTTTCCATTTCTTGAGATGCTAAACTTAATTAGACAAAAAGAGTTTTAACAGCAAATGGATTAGATCTCCTGTATTGACATCCACAGAAAAGGCAAATAAGGACAAAGAACACCAACCTAACAATCAAAAGAGCAAAGAAATCTCTGCAGATTAACTGCATCCGGCAAACCTAAGTGGCAAAGATTTTTTATGAAATGTAATATGATTAAGCTTACCTAAACAAATGTGGCCATTGCTATAGATATGAGGGTGCAAAGGAGCCGGGCTCAAAAATATCACCTTGCATCAATCCCAAATTAAAAGAACAAATCAGAATGCCATTCAAAGAAACTTTCGCCAAAATTATATACAGTAACTCCAAAAATTAAAACAAAAAAGAAGAAATACTGTAAAAAGATCCAACCTGGGGCGCTTCCATAGGATAATGTTCTGGAAAATCTACTTGTAGCTGAAATGTTTCATTAGCATATAAAGTTCCAGGAGCTCCATGCACTTCAATGACCCACCTTTTTATCAAATCAACTTACTAAATCAATAGCTAATCACAATCATAAACAACTGCAATGTTACAAAAAGCAGTAATTCATTCATTAAAAATCGATTTAGTATCAATAATTTCCCTGTACGAAATGAACAAATCCCGTATCATATCAACGTCCACCCACCGCCCTCCCCCCCCCCCCCCAAAAAAAAAAAAAGGAATAAAACAATTGTTAGGAGCAAGAAGCAATTGGGCTAAAAAAAGTGAAAGCTGATAAACAAGAAAGCAAAAGAAAACAACCTCTGAAGATTATCGGTGGGCTTGTGCTTAAAACCAGCAGGAGGATTGACCTGCCACTCCACCAGCTCCTTCTGCAACCGGTTGGTCGCTATTTTGCTTAACGCCTAATTCAACAATTACTATTGTCAAGATAATAATCTTTAAATGAATCTAAGAAAGAAAATTCTACATCGGAAAAGAAAAGCTAAAATTTTGTACAGCGCAATTTTGTAAAATTATCCACAAATTCCATATAGAGAGATTGAGAGGAATAAACCTTGCGAGAGGCGGCGGAGGAGCCGGTCATGGCGTCGCAAGATCACCTGATACCTGGCTCGGATAGACAGTAAAAGGCCGACTATTGACGACGAGGAGGATGATTCTACGGAGGAGCACACAAGGAATATGGCCCTGCTGCTGCTAATAATAATAATAATAATAATACGTCCTGTCCCCATTCTTTCTTTTTTGCTTTTATTTCATTTCACCCTGTCTAATTTCTTCTCCAAATAATACTCTACTAATTTCTTCCCCAAATCAAATAAAAAATGTCTTCTTATTTATTTATCTACTACAACTGTAGTTGTACTAGTACAGTATTTTTAAGGACTTTATTCTTTATGTTTTTAAACTGCTAGTGGGATATTTTATAGTAACTAGTAGTACTAATTTTCTTGGTAAATACTGACCTCCTCTCCTCCTACGGTTGATATCATAAATTCTAGTACTAAATTAATGTCGTCAACGGGAGATTTTGAGGTGAACCAGATTTTATCACCCCATTAAGATCGCATCGCATCACCATCTTTATGCTTTTTATTTACCAAATAGTAATACTAGTAATTAAAGAACAAGAATTGGTCCAAAATCGGCCCGGTTTGATGATGATCTAAGTGGGATGTCTTTACCCAAAAAAATAGTACCCCCTTGAGAAAGTGGGATGTTGCCAATAGTTCCCAAAATCAGCAAAATTCATTCTATCTTGAAAAATAAATTAGGTGTAAACCACCCAGTCTAAAACTAACAAAGAAGTAGCACACAAAAAGTAATAGAAAGTTCCTTTTCTTTTTAGTGTAGAAAGTTGACGGGAGTCCTTGACATCTTCCCTTCAATCCAAGATGCCGGGCCGAGACAGGAAAACCCTTTATTGTCATTTTCCTCTCAATTATTGGTTTCTAAATCAAATACAACAGCTCATCTATATTACTACTATGAGGACGGTCATCTCGGCCCGGTCACTCTAAAGAAAGGACTAGGGCTTCCTGTATTTCCAGTCATCTCGGCCCGAGGTTGTATGAACTCGGCTTTCCAGTGAAATGTCGAGTCCTCACACGTCTACAGTCATCTCAGCTCGTCATTGCGCGAATTCCGTCAAGGCCAGTTCTTCGCCCCTCAGCGTCTCGACTAATGAACTGTTCCTGACAACTAACACCTTATTGAAAAACCCCAACGTCTATATGACAGAAAGACATAACGTTTGACAAGACTTGACCACTGCTATATCTTGTCAACACAGACATGACACACAGGCGGTTAGATCTTAGGAAATTAAAGTCCACTATCCTTCCCTCCTATTGGCCTTCTATAAATACCATTCCCTCCTAAATAAAGGGAGAGGACTCTCTACTATTTTCATTCCCATTATTCATTTCCACAAAACTAACTTAATCATTGAAAGTACTCCGAGGGAAAAAAGCGCCGTCTAGTGTGTTTATCAGGAAAAGTACAGCACAAAATCAACTCGCTTAAGAAGATGACGTATTAGGTTAGCTCGGCTTGCCCATCCAGAAATAACCTTTTCATGCTACATATTTACAACAAACGGAAAAGGAAAAAATTTGAATCCCTAAACAGGAAAACGATTGTCATTTTCCGGTCAATTTTTTTTATCCAAAGGAATACACTATTGCACACTGCTGCAGAGAGAGATTTGAATCCTTAATCTATAGTCAGAATTGCCCCTCAGCTCACGTAATGCGAGTCGGTTTCCTAAATTCTAGTCACCGGTCTTCGTTTCTAACCGACGCCAAGTTCATTGCATAGTTTCTCACTGGTCCAAAGTAAACGACGTTCGCGACACCATCAAAGTATCGAGTGGCTTCGTAAGCACGATATCTTCCCCTGGAATAGTTTTCTGTATTTGGCTCTTCTCAGGCCTGTCAATCTGCATTTTTCGTCGACCAAGTCGGCAAAAAGACTCGAGATCTACTTCTAGAAAACAATTTGTCAAACGAACAAAGGGAAAAATATGTCAAAAGTGATCTAAAGCAAACACTTTATTAGCTATTTGCTTTGGACGCTGTCAATAGGAAGGAATCAGATTACCCACTGACGTATCCTCCAAGGTAATTAACTTGCTAGGACAGGATTTCAGTTTCAACACAAGGAGGATTAAGCATATCCTTTGCATCATTTCAATTTTATGACTGCCCCCACCAAGAAAACTAGACTCTGGAAAGCATCTAGCGGTTGCAGAATCAAAGTTCATGCCTATTCCGATCTTGACCTGTCTTAAATCAGTAAATAATCAATAAACAATGATGATAAGTTACTCATTATGTGAGAATTAAGACCGCATTTAGGTACTGGATCATGGTTAATCATCGTCCCTACAAAACATGTTAGTCATGGTATGTTCTTGTACAGCAAGCGAACGGTAGAAATGGCATTCTCACTGAGACTGGAAGACAAATGAACAACCAACAGTATACGGTATGGTCATCACAATCTTTTAAGGATGGCCCAAGTTACTTTGCACAAAAATTCTGCACATTGAAGGATGGCTTAAGTTACTTGCACATACTTTTAGGAACAACATGTCATTGAAGTCTCAATTTCTCAGCCTGTAATCTGTAATCTACGACCTGTGGTATGAATTTTCTAATGCAATCTTATTCTCAATTTTGTGTCAAAAACTAAAAGTCGTACCCTGAGCTGAAAAATTGGACACTTGCAGTCATCAGTTTATTTCCTTAATTTTGAGAAAAGAGGCTCGATGGAAGAACTTTGTACGGGTTGAGTATACCATTGGGGTCAAGCAGCTTCTTGATGGAAGCCATTACTTGCACCTGTCAGCACAATAATTTGTTTTAGATTCTTGTATGGATAGAAAGTAGTAATCGGGGGAAAAATAAAAAATCAGTGAAGGATCGGAGTGTGTAAAGGAAGGAGAAAGTATTTGAACCTGTAAATCGCATTGGAAAACAAAGGCACGAGTAGGATCAAGCAGAAAGACACAGACAGATAATAGAATGATTATCATCGAGACAAGATGTGTCAGGTAACAGTTCGAATACACAATAATCAAAGTCTATCATCAGCCTTACAGTTTCAGGTGACTTGCTGTAGTGTATTTTAGCAGCTTTCATCAATCCAAGACCATGCTCAGCACTAATACTCCCACGGTTCTTTGATGTCCATTCATACACGAAGGGCTCAATTTTTGCCAAAATCTGAAATATGTGTGATCATCTTAGTGAGGTAACTACAATTCAGAATCAAGGGAACCTCACAGAGAGAGCAGGAACAAGCACACTACATTATCATCATACGCTGGAGCTGAGATATTTAGATGTAAGTTTCCATCCCCAAGGTGACCATATGCCACTACTTTGGCTGCAGGACCTAGAGATTAACATGCAAGTGTGAAAAGTTGTCAGAAACATTTAATACCTTACTGACAGTCAAGTCCAAATGTAATGTTATACCTAAGAAGTCAGAACTCAATAAGTGAAACTTAATCAGCCAAGTAAAGTAGGATCTTCAAGTTGAAATGAAGCTTGGCTTCCATGATAAGTTATGAGAAATAACTACTGAAGCTATGTATCCATTGGATGAATCCCATCCAGAAGATTGTTCCACCTTCAAGGTATCACCATGAAAGAGAACAGCATTCTTACTGTTCAATAAAACAAAGAAAAAGTAATGAATTTCATTATTACCAATTTGCACTCGCATTTCCTCAACAAGATCATACATCTTTTCAAGAGGCAGTGACAAATCATATTTGTACACAGCCCCTGCTTTCATGAGAGCTTCAGGTAAACCCTGTAACCAAGAAGCTGCATATTAGCAAGTTTCATGTATAGACAAAACGCCTCATGTAATTTAAAGATACTTCATGCTATTAAACAGATCACTCGGAAATCAATATTTTAGGTAATAGTTGCATTCTTTTATACTGTTTAAAAATTATAAATTAAAGGAAATTTCATAGTTATTTGCTCCAATGCAAAACGTTCTCGTGATTTTAGCAATAAGTCAATCCATTTAATCTGACTCCTACTATAATTCTGACATCCAAAAAACTATTATCAAGATATAGAACAAGGAGATATTCTAATTTATTACAGAACAAAATGTTATTCTCAATTTCAGAGAGAGATACTGAAACATCAGGAGAAATTCAGTAGAGCAGATGAAGCACCACATCAGAGCTGAGATGCCTATGCAAATAAAATAATATCAAATACCCGAGCGTAAGTTCCCAATTCCAAAGAACTCTCCAAAGTAATATTGGTGACTTTGATGATACGACAAAATGAGGATGCATGGTAATAACCTCACGAATATGCCAAAATGAGGATGCTTGATTGATATCTTGAGCAAGAACTCCATTGGCTACCAAACCACTTTCCACTGAATGAAGAAGGAAGGCCTCAAGGTTCTCCCTGGAGACATCAAGATAGAATGTTTAGAACCAAAAGAAGCAGCAAATCATCATTCCAGGCATTTTATTTGATAAACCTTAAGTTTTCTGATATAGAACGTTGGACATTTGTTCAAACAAAGAGCATTATTCATTAACTTCAAAGGTGGCTGTTGTCCAAGAGGTTTTAACTCCTTTCAAACTATAAGCAAAAAGCAACTAGGAAATAGAATGGTAAATAGCTGGCCAAGCTGGTTGTACTGATGCCTATGGTTGCCCAAGCAAGTTTGAACAATAACAGTTTACATAAAATTAAGAACCTTCTTACATCTAGGAGATCATTTGCTAAGTTTTATTATTCAAACTGAACTAAGCTAAGCCCCCGCCAAAAAAAAAAAAAAGGTCCTAACTAGCTCGTTGATAGAAACTAAAACATCCCAAACAGAAAGAAAGAGCTTCTGTTCATCAGATTCATGTCATGCCACAGAAAGAAAGTGTGTCCCTAGTGTAAGAAGTATTTTTTTCAGAAGTTTTTTCTTCAGGTAAAATATTTCATCAGTGTATCCCCTCTATTTCCTTGTTAAACAAGAAACTGCTTTGAAACCTGTAAAGGGAAGAGGTTGTCAATTGTAACAAGACCTATTCAACTATTTTGTCCGATTCCCATTCGGTGACTTTCTTCGAGTCCTTCAATTTAGACGACAACAAAATTTTAAGGATGGCATGTAGCATAATTTACTTGTCAAAAGTTTCGTTGCTTCCAGTTGTCTCAATCAGAATATAGAAGTTGTGTATTGAGGGAGGTAAAGGATTGCGAACACCATCCAAATGTTTCAGAACCTGTCGCATGTAACATATAAGCATGGTGATGGAAATTAACAGCATATTATTCACACAAAGTACAAGACACTATGCATACATAATCTAATGTCGCTCACATGTAACTTAGCTGAGTATATTATACTGAGATAAAGTTAAAAAACATTAAGCACAAATTACATGAATATACTTCCACTTGCATAAGTGTACCAGAACTCAAGGGGCAATGCCCTGAGATCAATGCAGGTGAAATCCTGCCCGTATTTATCTTTTATCACTTCTCGTCCGTGATTTTCAGTTCCCAAAAAAGTTGTGGAACTAACCTTCATACAACACAAGAAATCAAAGCCTCGTAGAATTGAGGGAATTTCGCATCGACTGACAACCAAAAACTTTGTGGAAATTAGGTATTCCACCAAAACCCCAAAAAATTAATAATAATAAGATCCCCACCAAAACCCCAAGCCGAAAAAACAAAATCTAAGTCAGGCAAAACTGGTGGCAGCACATAGAAAATGTCTTTTTTGCTATCTTTTGTCCTAGTTACTGTGAGTTAATATATACTTTCACGGGGTCAGAACACATGAACTTAATAGCTTCATGCGGACAAATATCCATAAATTACAAAGTTTTGGATGATATCAGAGCTAAATAAGATTTACTTCAGTCCACTTCCTTACAGCTTTTGCCTTTAAATCAAACAGACACCTCATGTAATATATCAACAATTCTTGAAATTTAGTACTAACCATCTACTCTGCATGTGCCTCTCTAGGGGTGGAGCAAAATAAGAGTTTTCTTCATGATTACATGCATTGCACAAGCATGAAAAAGATCACCATCATTGTCATCAATTAAAGTTCATGAAATTAAAGGCAAATGTACGTCAATTCATCAGAAAGATAAAGGCCATAGAGAAAACTAACCAAACTCATTGCATCAGAATCAAGAAACTCAAATGCAGAAAGAATTCCTCCAAGCTTCTTTTTTGCTTCCAACAGAAGTTTCTGGAGCCAAGAATAGGATGTACAAAAAAATAAATCAAAATTATTTTCCCAACTTTTTATCTAAGTATCATTAAATGGAAGAAAAGTATACAGTCATGATAACCTCACCACTACATATAGTTGGGAATTTCACACTCGACATTTTAAGTGTGGATGCTGGTGTTCCAAATGTGAATGTAGCAAAAGACAAAGGGCTTTTTTCCAAGAAAAATAAAATCATAACGAAAGGAGTCTCTTAGCCTCTCATGATGTATATTACCTGGCAGCTGGTGTAATCTTCGCAAGCAAGAAAAGCTATATTGACAGATGACAACTTTGGAGGGGTAAGAATTGAAACCTTTGTAACAATTCCCAAAGATCCTTCACTTCCTAAAGACGCATACAGGTTGTTGAAGAAGGTAAACATAAAATTTCATTGATAAAGAGACAAAACCATCAACGAATAAGTAAAAAATTATCTCTTTTCACCTATAAATAGGTGCTTAAGGTCATATCCAGTATTGTCTTTTCTTAAAGTCCCAAGCATGTCGAGCACAGTACCATTTGCCAAAACTGCTTCAAGACCTGAAAGAAATATTTTAGATCAATGTTTTAGACTAACCACCTTTCTCAAAAGGAAAGCAAAAATTCTTAATTATCTTCAATAAAGGAAGATGATTCATCTTGATGCTGCCTAGAAAAATAATTTCCCAGTAATAGTACAGTACCCTGAAACTGCTTTCAATAAACAGAGGCATTATCCAGCCGAGCAACACTGATCACTATGCAACATGAATAAATATGTACTTGTGATTACCTGTTCCTACTTACTCACATGCTAAATCTAATTCATGTATAATGTACAAAGTCAAGTGGAATATCAGTTCAAATTTTACTCAGATGCTACCAGCAAAATCTACATTAGACAACTTAGGAATAACAGGGACCTTTTCAATTTAAACTTAAACTCCAAATGAGGCTACTGGCAGCAGATATCAGCATTATACATCAATTACAATTCAAGACATCAAAAGCAAATTCTATGCATAAGAGTGGTATCAGTATTGAACTGGAAAAGCATACCGAATATCAGTGCATAAAACAGTTAAGAACATGAAAACGAGGAACAATGCTCACCAAGTACACTGCCATGTAGTGAACCATACCGCAGAAGACGTAGCCCACCAGCATTAGTTGATACATTTCCTCCAATTTGACAGCTACCTTTGGCTCCTAAATCTAGGCATAATAAATCTGAAAAGGAACCAAAACTTCACTAATACAGCTAGATGTGTAAAGAAATACTCAATTACATATTTCAAGGCATGATCATGAAATTTGAGGTCGCCAAAAGCTTGAAACAGAATTAAAATCAGAAAAAGATCTGTTAAATGAAAAATATATGAACAAAACTTCTCCACTCCTCATAAAGCAAAATTTTGATCAGGCAAAAATAGAATAGAAGAAATTCTTTCGTGCATACAATCTTTGAACACTAAGTACTTGTTCAACAGAGGTGACTGAAGTAATTTGGTGAGCTGGTGAATACACCAGGAACCCTAAGGTAGCAACATTACTATAGCAGAACCGTTTTACAACCACCAAAAAAAAAATTCCACAGAATTATCACATCGACTCAGGACTACAAGTGAAAATGGCATAATAGGACATCACAGTCATCATCAACTAACCATCTGTTATATTGAGTATTCTATGTTCTTTGCAGTCTCAGAGAAGAATTATGACAAAGTAGTGAATTTTTACCCTTCATCATCTAGGAAAGAAATCAAGTTTTCCAATATGCATCCTGCTTCACAAACCAGGACACCACTGACCTGGAAAAGACAACAAAAGGAAAGACAATGGAACTCATCTCAGCAATTTGAGTTTACAACTGACATGATAATTTCTAATTTTTAATTTCTAACCCAAGTTTGAAGTGCAGGAAATGAAAATTAGCAAAGCCAAACTAACACTCTAAAGAATGAAAACTCTGATAAAGAAAAGACAGTCTATTCCATTTCTACAACATCCTTTCAAAATCAAAATGCACAACATAGGTGTGTATGTTAATAACAAAAGCCAGGCAAAATGCCTCAGTTGAATATCTGGCATGAAAGCAAAATTTGAAATATAGATCAGTGAACTTACTATTACCTTGTCAAAAGAAAGGATGTTCCTCATTAAACCAACATTGATGATCACCTGTGAAGTTTCAACATGAGACAAGTAAGCCAGGTGCCTGAGAATTTGAAGGTTTGGGAAATGCAACATGTGGAAGCCACTAGATTTTCCACAAGCAGTAATGTATTCCTGAATGCTTTTTTAGATAGGTGCTCTAGACCATTAGTTCAAGTTGGTTTGACCACAAATGAATCCTTTTAGGACCCCAAAACTTGTAAAGACTGAACTATGATTAGATTGGCTGTGATAATATCTGATAGATCAAAACATTATCAGGATACTAGTTTCTTCATTCTACTATGAATTCAAAATTAAATGACTCAACACTCAACAAAGAACAACCTTACTCCAAGTAATCCCCTGATCATTTAGTGATCAAACTTTTCAAATAGTATTAATTTTGTAATTTAACAAGTCTACCGTGCTTAAACTGCCAGCAGAAATCTACATGTCACCACAAAATCGATGCTTACATCCGACACCTTGTATTCCAATTAAAGTCTCTCCTCCTTGAAGCAATAATAAGATGTAGAATAAATCAATACCCTTTTCATCAACAATATACATTCTCCAAGCACAACACAAATTATGCTCCAATTAACTGCATTAAGAACATATTTACTACAGAATTCATCTTAGATAAACTGAAAGATTCAACGCACTATAAATTAATGAGTTATGATATATACCTCATCAAAAACAGGTACACTTCCACCCACAAGACCTGTGTTTCCACCTTGGGGAACAACAGCCAAGCACCTGGAATTACAGTATTTAAGAATCTGTGAAACCTGCATAAACCATGTGGGCACAACAGACGATTACGCTTGACTTCTTTGGGTAAAAAAAAAAAAACCCAATGTCTTAAATAAACAATAAAAAAAAGTTATATACTTCTTCAGTGTTCTTAGGCTGAAGCAGCAGCTTGCTCGAGCCTCTGTACTTGCCCATCCAATCAGTATTTGCAGCATCCAGTGCCAATGCATCCTGAACAACACCTCTCTCCCCTAATATGGTCTTGAAATAGCTGATATCATCAGGGCTAATGCTAGAAAACAAGGGATTTCTGTGCACTGTTGTGGCCACTGAATAAAAATATTTCCCCTGTTTGCTTTTACAGCTATTGTTCCAATTAACCGCTGTCGTTAGCATACAAATAAAACACCAATTATCGACTTAATAAGACAATCTGCATTTGTTTTGTCTACAACATAGGCAGGGCGTAGAAATTGATAATCTATTGATCTCCAGATAAGCTACGACTTATTAGCAAGAAAAAAGTCTTTAAATTTATATACCCCTCAAAGCAGTATAATTTCTTTTGTCTTAAATTTTCCTAATCTGAATTACTGAAATTCAATAACAACCAACTTGCTCCATCTTTGCTATTCATTGCTACAGTAGAAATAAAGACTATTACATAAGAGCACTTACCAATAAAATGGGATAGGGAAAAAAACAGCATTCTGATACTAGCGGGTGTGTGTGATCATAGTTGATAATTGTGCACGTAAGTTTGGTACCTGAAGCGAACCTGCTAGAGAATTTGAGCAGACGGTCAGCAGCTCTCCATTTCTCCATCTCGTAGAGAATTTGATGACTATTGAGGGCGAGCTATTTCATGATAGTGTCAGATTACTGGGCTATTAAGGGAGTTTTAGGACCAGTTTGGGCAAAGAAATATAGAAGAGACAAGTATTTGGATAAACTGGAGGCTAACTTTTTTTTTTTTTTCGTAGGAGAGGCTGACTTTGTTGAAAGCTTCAGACTCGTTGCCATGCCACTTCTATCCTGTCCTTTCTCTTGTGGTGCATGCGTCTTGTTCTCAACTATTTCTAATTGTGTAAAAATTAATTTTAAAAACTTAAAATAAAAAAAATAAAAACTTGTTTCTGATTTTCAGCTTTTTATGTCCAAAAAATTCAAAATCAATATAAAATATAATTGAAAATATAATAAATAAATTTTTAAAAATCAAATCTTAAAAGTCATTTTGTGATTAAAGTCCATACTTCGACAATGTGCAGTTGCACTCAGTGCTGGTAAAAATAAATTGCATGTTTCATTCTCTTTTTACTTATTCCAATATATGTCTTATTACCATTTTATTTGAAACTCCAAAAAATACAAAAGAGACAATCACCCTTTGGTCATATGTCTGGCTTTTATTTTTAACTAATTCCATCCAAATTAGGTACTGGGAAAAAATTTAAAGTTCAATTTAGGAGAGAAAATGAAAAGAAATCAACATTTTCACATTGTCTTGTTTGTCGAAAAATTGGGGGAAAAAATTCATTATGAATGAATAGACAATATGCATCTAAGGTACTTAACTTCCAATTTTTTTTGGGGGGGGGGGGGGGGAGGGTGTAAATAGATTGGGTGATATAGGAGAAAGCAGTCTAAATAAGAGATCATCACCTCAAGAGCTCCACTTAAAAAAAAAAAAAAAAAGTGTTCCAATTTGAATTATTTAATTGTTCATTTTACTGGTAAACTAAGCAACGTAAGAATGTTGACAAATAGTCTCACTTCTTTATCTATAACTTTTCCCACTTATTAGAAGGAAATGAAAGAAAGAAAAATCACTTCATTAAAATTCAAGAAACACACTTTCAGTTGTTTTGCATTCTCTTTTTTTTTTCAAAGAAAAAAAAAACTCCCAAGTTTCAATTATCTTTAGTTCAAGTAATTCCTTTCCTGCAATTACCGTCCAAACAAGGTGTTAAACAAAACTGAAGTTATGGTACAGCCCGCTTGCTATTCGGATCCTTTCATTTTCCGAGCCCTATCCAACTCTCTCCTTCAGACTTCCCAAAGCCAAGTAGTGTATCATAGCAAAATGGCGACTGCCACTGCTGCCGCTGCTGCTTCCATATCTTCTTCAGTGTCGTCTGTCTTAAACCAACCCTACCACCACCCTTCTCTAATCATCCGGCTTCCTCGGAGATGCTCCGCCGCCTTCTCTCGCCGACTCCTTGGGTCCCCAAATCCCCTGAAAACCTCATCATCTCTCTCCCGTTCTTCCTACCATGTCCTCGCCCGCTCGCCATTATTAAAAGCGCGGCGATGTTTAACCTTTTCTTTAGGATTCGTTCGGAACTCAGCATCGCACATTCCGCTTTCCCAAAAGCAAGAAATCCCGAGTCTCCACCATTTCATGCCAAAAGCTACTCCCGTTCCTTCTGTTTCTGAACCCCAATTCGAGTAAGTTGGGGATTCCATCGATTTCATTTTTATGCGTGGTTTTATGTTTGTATTAATTCTGGGTTCTGTCTGCTGGAAGTATTTGCCTTGGATAATCTGAGAAAGATTTAATCTCGAAGAATTGCCTGGTTGTTATTCAACTTGAAGCTTGTACGTTAGTAATGAGCTCAACTGTTAGTTACTGCTACAAAAATGAATAAGCCTTATCGGTTTATTTGGCTAGTAATCAAGCTAAAAGAGAAACCACTGAATGCAATTTTCGATTTTGTATCAGTATTTGACGTCATAATTGGATATGTTGGGATTATATTGTTTGAGCATATTCATTTTTAGTAGAGCGAATTGCGGAAATGTCACTAAACTATTTCAAAGTGCCGGTTCTGATCATTAAACTTTTTTATTAGCGCGAAATGTCACTGAACTAGTAAATCTATATACCGTTTTGGTCACTCCGTGTATTTGTGCGGAAATCAACTTTTTGAGGGGTAATTTCGTCTACACAATAGTTAAAAAATTTATGCCTTCATTCTTCTTCACCCACAACCATAGTGCTATACCATATTTACATTCCCAGCCTTCCCGTACGCATCAATCATCACAGAATAGGTAACCTCATCCGGTTCACACCCAAAAGACGGCATTTTTTCGAACCACTGGACGGCTTTCTCAGGTAAAGAAGACAGCCTGGCGCAGCTAATTATGGTGGAAAGGAGGAGTATTGGACCAGCAATCAAAGAATCAAGAGATGAATTCGCTGAAGAAGGGTTCTTTTCGTCCTCTGGGGCTGCTGCTTGGCCTTGTACCTGTCCCATATCTCATCGAGATTGGATGCTACGGAGATGAAGTAAGAGGAAAAGGCAACAGCAGCAACCAAAAAATTGGGATGGACGAGAATTTTGAAGTTGGAGTTGGGGTTGGGTGCTATCTGCAACCCATGTAAAGTTGTGGAGTGATTTGCGATTAATCTGTTAAATGTTATTGTGCCAACTGCCAACAGAATTGGAATGGACATCAAAGTCCAGTGTAGGCCGACGACGGACGGAGCTCTCTATGCCCACCCACTTCTGCAACAAAACCACCGAACTTTACATTTAATTTCTCATTCTTTTCACTCTTTCCGCATCGTCATTTTCGCCACTCCCAACCCCAGAGGTATGTAAAGGTGACATTATCGGGCTTAACTCCTCTCTCAATCATATCCGTAAACAATTTCTCGGCTCTGTCCAAGTCTCTACATTTTCTAAACACCTTGAAGGTAACATTATACAAAATCACTTCTTTCTTCAACTTAAGCCTTTCCAGAAAGTAACTCAGCACCAAAGGCGCAGTTTCAGAGTTGGACATGTTATTGAGCACAACGGCAGCATCTTGCTCTACAACTTTGCCACCCAAATTAGCCAAAATACTAATAACGTCAGCTTCTACAGGGTCACACGAGTCCAATTGTTGGGAAGCTTGGACTAAAGAAGCATACCTGAAATCGTAGGAATTGCGCCTGAGCTTTGATGCCCTGGAGCTGTTGGGGTTGACCCAGATATAGCTTTTTGAGGAAGAAGAGATGGTTTTAGCATCTGGGCGGTGAGGAATTTGGGAAATTGAGGGGGATTGTTGTTGGGAAGCCGGTATAGAGAGGGAAGGTTTTGGATGGGGCTTGAGAGGAGGAAAAGCGAGGGCGTTATGGGGGATGATTCTGAGTTGGTGGAGGTGAGTGGGATAAAGAGAGTTACAGAAGAGGTGTGGGTGGCGAGAGAGATGAGACGGCGAATAGGCGGCGGCCACCATTCTTCTCTCTACTCTTCTTCCTTCCTTCTCAGTCGTCACTCACTCAGCAGAGCAGTCAGCAGCATTTGAATTTTCTTCTTTTTTACAACTATGAAAAATTTCGCCTGCATTTTTTGGTTGAAGTTTGATGGTGCCGCCATTCAGATCAGCCATCTCCTTTATGTCTTTGCCGGATACGGAACCATTGATTATGTAAAAGCTTCAAGAAAAAGGCTGTGCTGACAAATTTGCCCCTCAAAAAGTTGATTTCCGTCTCTCCTAACGGCACAAATACACGGAGTGACTAAAACGGTATAGATTTACTAGTTCAGTGACATTTCGCGCTAATAAAAAAGTTTAGTGACCAGAACCGGCACTTTGAAATAGTTTAGTGACATTTCGCGCAATTCGCTCTTTTTAGTATCTCATTTAGCTATTATTGTATGCTTAACAATGCCATTATTTAACCTTTGCCTTCTTGACGCTTTCCGGTTTTGATGTTGAATAGTTGTGTTTGCTCTTCATAGTGTTTAGTGTCGACTGATCATACAGATGGGTATCTTCTGAAACTAAAGCCGTTATATGCACAGAGTTGTTGTCTTGTCAACAGTGCAGTGTCTAAGTACTAGCGACTTCATATACTTATAGTTTTCTTAAACATAAAGAGCTCTTATGTCCAATTACAAATATCTCATTGTTATTTCTCTTCTTGTTTATTTTTGTCCTAGCTTGATAGCACCTTCTGAAGTTCTTCCAAGAGGTCGTATTTATCAAGAAACATATGGATGTCAGATGAATGTCAATGATATGGAGATAGTATTATCTATCATGAAGAAAGCTGGGTATAGTGAAGTGGTGGATGTTCCTGAGAGTGCAGAGATAATATTTGTCAACACATGTGCTATTAGGGACAATGCAGAGCACAAAGGTATGGCAGAGGCTCAATTACTTTTGGTTTCTTAAGAGGCATTGGAAGAGCAATGTTGCCATTGGACGGTCACAGTCCCTGCATCCTCCGAAAGTTGTTGTTCTCAGCTGTATGGCTGAGAGGTTGAAGGAGAAGATATTAGATGCAGATAAGATGGTTGATGTTGTTTGTGGACCTGATGCTTATAGAGACCTGCCACGCCTATTAGAAGAGGTAGACTCTGGTCAAAAAGGGATTAACACTCTACTTTCACTTGAAGAAACTTATGCTGATATCAATCCTGTTCGTATCTCTAAAAATTCAATCAGTGCTTTTGTCTCAATTATGAGAGGTTGCAATAATATGTGCTCCTTTTGCATTGTTCCTTTCACCAGAGGCAGAGAGAGATCTAGGCCAGTGGAATCCATTGTTAGAGAGGTGGGAGAGCTTTGGAAAGAATGTGTTAAAGAGGTGACACTTCTTGGTCAGAATGTTAACAGTTACAATGACACATCCGGGCTTGAAAAAGAAATTGAACCAGGAGTAAACTGGAAACTTAGTGAAGGTTTTTCCAGCATGTGTAAGGTTAAAAAGATGGGTTTACGCTTTGCAGATCTCTTGGATAGACTTGCTGTGGAATTTCCAGAGATGCGGTTTAGATTCACTTCACCACACCCTAAAGATTTTCCTGATGAGTTGTTGTATGTAATGCGAGACAGACACAATATCTGCAAAAGCATCCATTTGCCTGCACAATCAGGGAACAGTAACGTGCTGAAAAAGATGCGACGTGGCTATACACGAGAAGCATATTTAGAACTTGTGAGTAAGATACGGAGTATAATTCCTGATATGGGGATCAGCAGTGATTTTATTTGTGGTGAGAGTCTTATTCACATTGGTTTTACTCATCGT